GGAACGAAGATAGATGTGATAAATAGAAAACATTAATACGGCATGAACCCAAACATATCAGTAAATACAGTAAATACATTAAACAGACTCAGTACTCAAATTAAAAGATAAAGATTGTCCAGGTGGAAGAAGAAAAGCCAAGTACATGCTGCTATCAAGAGACACATCTTAAATATACAGTTATAGGAAGGTTAAAAGAAAAAAAAAGTAGAGAAAGATATAGCATGCTAACAATAACCAAAAGAAATCTGGCATTATTATTTTAATATTGCTAATAATAATTTTGGTGTGATAATTTTGAAACAATTTTATGCATACTACAAGATAAAACAAAGATATAAATATGTAATATTATTAGGAACCAAAATTTCTACTGATAGAAAACATAAATATAAAATATAAAAAGTTAAGACAAAAACCGAAGTATTAAATTTCAATTGAAAACATCAATATGAACTCATGGTTTTCTTAGCTCTAGCCATGCAAGAACCTAGAAGCAATAACACCTCAGTAGCAGTGAGCACCTCCAGCACACAGATCTTGGTTTCTCATTATCATTCCCCACTAAAAGAGATCACGGTTTCTTAGAGAATTGTCTCATTCTAACCTGATATAGAGAAACTACAAGGTGAGCCAAAGAGATCTTGTGCCAGAAAGTGAAGAAATGTTCAAAGATTAATGGGGTCATCAAAAGGACATGAGAGCCAACTTGAAAGGGTCCCTACTAGCCAAATGTAGGATAATTTGTGCATCTAAATGAATAATCACTGTAATTAAATAAACACACTGAATTTTTTTTAAAGCAAGAGGGAAGAAAATTTTTTCTTTACAAAAATGCCAGATAATAAATGTAGAAGGAATGACAGAAATAGAAAATTACCATTTTGCAACCTCCAGTGTAATAATGGATTCAGCAAAAGGTCATCAATGGATGTTAAAGTCAATAAGTAGAAAGTTGTGGGGCACAGGATACTTACTGTACAGTAACGAAGTATTGTCCCACAGAATACCTAGTGATTCCAACGGAGAGATATGGTGGTCACCACCCTAACTAGTGATCAAACTTAGCATCATTATCATATGAGGCTTCTGATGTGATCTATCATCTGAAATATTCTTGCAAAAATATTTATTTGAATTTACCCGAGCCCTTCAATCTGCCTACCAGTTTACCAGACATAAAGAGGATGGAGGAATAAATTAGATTGCACCGTGAAGAATCAGACAAATTTAGACGCTATAAGAAAACTAACTAGCTTAGGTTCTTTTAAAAAAAAATGGCTTAAACTCTTTAAAAAATTCAATATTATAAAAAATAATTTTTTTAATGCAGGAATACTGTTCTAGATCAGAAGAGATAGAGGAGATATAATGACCAAACGCAGTATCTGAATCCAGAGTAGAGGTGGAGGGCTGAGAGATGTAAAAAAGTGATGTTGAGCAATTGAGGAAATTTGAATATGGATTCTATATTGGATATTGTTGAATTAATGTTAATTTTATTACATGAGATAATGGTTGTTATTTAGGAGAATGTCTTTATTCTTAGGTGATATGTGTTAAAAGTAGGAGCGTCATGATGTCTGTAACTTATTTTCAAAGGCTTCAGCAAAAACTGAGAGTGAGGGAGAAAAAGTAACTGTGGCAAGTTTATTGATGTTAAAAATCTTAGTCACTGCTAATTGGTACAGCCACTATAGAAAACAGTAAGAAGGTTCCTCAAAAAACTAAGAATTGATTACCATATGATCCAGCAATCTCTCTACTGGTTATTTACCCTAAAGTCTTGAAAACCCATATCTGAAAAGAGTTTTGCACACCGATGTTCATAGCAGCAGTATTTACAGTGGCCAGGACATGGAAGCAACTGAAGTGTCCTATGATAGATGAGTGTCTAAAGAAGTTGTAGTACATATATACAATGGAATATTACTCAGCCACTATCATTTGATGTGCCTTCAGGACCCAGTAAAGAGCACTGGTTCTGTAGTGAAAGAATGGGATCACCTAAAGGGGCTTAGGGATAGAGACTAGTGGTTACCAGAGGTGGGAGGGAGAGGGAAGGCAGATGGGGCAAAGGGGGTCAAATATGTGGTGACAGAAAGAAATCTAACTATGGGAGGTGACCACACAATATAAATATATATATGCCTTACTGTTAAAGTGTACAGCTGAAACTTACTGGATTTTGTTAACCAATATCACCATAAAAAATTAATTAATTTAAAAAAATCTTAGTCGCAAAGCATAACAGTCATGGAGGATGACAGATAATCCATTTTTTATATTAACATTTTCACAGAGTTGCCTTCAGTACTATCTACCCCTGCTTTTATGAGTGTCAAACACTGGGATTTCACATAAAATTTTATTTGAAAAAAGTAGTGAAATCATTTCTCTGGCCAGTGTCTGACAACACATGGCAAGCTTCCAGGGCCAGCGCAGACACTGCTGGTCAACTGGACAGTCCTGCTCAATCTAGGCTCGGCATTTCATCACAATATGCCAGTCAGCCATTATCAGATGTATTTGGAATAAAACTTACTTGTCATCTTAGAACGAGATCAAAGAGCTGCATACTGAATCAATCACATTGTCTTAGTATCTCACAGAATTGTTTTGCTCAATTGGTTTACAATGAGGGATTAAAAGAAAACACTGTGGTATACAATTAGATATTGAATTTATTGTGAGGGTGATTTTGAATATATTCTCCAGTGCTCGATTCATAGAATAAATCTCTCAGGAGTCAACCTCAGTATTGTGAAAAGCTGTGAGTCTCCTGATCAAATGGTTTGCTTTTTGATTTATGAACAAAATTATAAATCTTGTAGGTGGCTGTTTACTTCCTTGCTCTGTCTACTAGGACAAATTTGTGGTCCTCAAATAACTATCTAGGACTTCATGTTATGTATCTTTTGAACTAACAATAAATACTTCTGTGTTATCTTATTTTCCATACCCTCCTTTTCTCTTTGTCCATGTTTCTTCATCCATTTATTTAATCTGAAGGTATGGTATATACTTTGCAGGACATTTCAAATCTTTTTTGAATTATAATGTGCTTAACCACATGAATAAACGGAATGGTGGCAATGCAAATAGAAAGTAAAATTTGCAGAGAAAGAAAATGCAGATCTTATTGGCAGCCTCATTATTATGGATGAAAGGAAGGTATTCAAAATCTCTAGCTTTACTCAGAAAATGGTGGAACCAAAGACATACATGAAGAAGAAAGGGGAAAGATAACTACTTCGAGATGACGAGTTAGGTTTTAGGGAAATTGATTTAGCAGATAGATAATCAAGTGGGGATTGTTTAGGCCACTGGGAATATGTTCTAGAACTGGAGTCAAAGATCCAGGTTGGTGATATGTTGATTTGAGAGCCATCGACATTAAAATAACAGCTGAAGCCAAGAAAGGTAAAAACATTCCCCCGTGAAGTGCAGACAGAAGACCGAAGTATAAATACTATAGGTAAAGCTAGGATTAGGGGTTTGGGGAAGAAACAACCAGTGATAATGAAAGGAGAATTAATTGAAGAAGAAGAAAGCATTAAAGTAACAATGCAATAGAAGTCAAGGGAGAACATAATTTCAAACAGCAATATTAATATTTAAAAGTGGAAGATGCCAAAATAAATGAGACAAGCAAAGAAAGGACTGTCGGCTTTATTAAAGGAAGCAAGCTCTGTTGATCTTTGAATGGTGGGGCAGAGGCACATAATCCTAACCCGAGGATCCTCCGCCTGTCTCTTCGTGGTGGTTTGCTAGTTATCAATTCCAAATGTTAAGCCATATCTTTGAATTTTTATTAGCTTTCTTCACAAAGGAAATATGTGTCTTTAGTATGCTATGATATGAGTAAACCTCCTTTTATATTTTAATAATTGACACAAGAATCTCAATCTTAATGACTCAGTAATTATGGTGACATGAGTAGAATCCAGAATCTAAAATTTAATTACCATACAATATTCTAATTCTGGGTTTTAAAATGTGAAAGGAAATGAATCAAAATTCACTTATCCAGGACCCCAATACTTCTTATTTCCACCATTAAGAAGCTCCATGTCAGCAGAAGGCTTACCTTTTCTATCTGGAATTGTGAGCAGGTCTCCTTAAACTTGTTTGCCACCATATCATATTCTACATGACCAGGTTGTAGCTCAACAAGACAGATATCCTGCTGCTTCATATCACTCCAGTGCACAGGGATCTCAACTGCAAAGTAGACATTTGAGGACACCTTTGTACCCGGGGAGGCTCATCTACACAGGTCACATTCCTAGGATGCTTTGAAAAACTGAGTATAATTTGCATTTCTGTTTTACAATCTCCTAATTCAAGGTATTCGAGAAATTTCTTATCTTTCTAAGAGAATGTTTTTCAAAGCGTGGAACCACAGACAACCACAGAACCAACTGTCATGCTTGTTAAAAAAATAAATAAAACCCCACAGATTTATTGAGTCACAGTCTCTGAGGGGTGGAACCTGTGTACCTACGTCTTAAGTTTTGATTAGGCTCAGATTTGAGAACTGCTGATGTAGTGTAATTCAGCTGCATAATCTGTTAGGTCTCTAATCTGTCATAATTTAATAATTTAACAAAATTTCCCTTTTTTTTTAAATAGTTTCTACTGTCTTGTTTACAAATGCATGGCTTTTTGCTAGAACTCTGCACCACCACATGGCCCTCCACTTCTGTTCTCTCATTATTCTTCACGGCATTCTTAAGAGTTGAGTGGGTGGCAGGTTTTGCTGTGTGACAGATTGTAGTGGCAGCTCTGTCTCCCCATCTGCTAAACAGAATATTATTCTTGTCATTTCTCCAGGGTTTCTCAGAGTGTGAAGAATTCATTCACACTGATCTCACAAGAGATGAAGATAATGTACTGGAAGGGAAGCCAATTTACTTGTTTTCAGCGGGGGACTTCTGTGGTTTGAAGGCAGGAATGGCTGTCTTCACAAGACAAGCATTCCCTTCTCAGGGAACAGATCCAATCAGAGAATCTGAAGGCTGCTTCCTGGTGTATGTATCAAGGAACCTTATTTTCAGCACAGAGGAAGTGACTTCTGGGAGAAGAACCTATAGGCTCCTGATCCTCTCTGGGTATCAGCTGCAGACACAGAAAGTGCCCACTCTCTGACCAGCCTGTCTTTCCCCTTTTATCTAAAAACCTCGGGTCACTTTTCTTCATATCCCATGGCCTTATATCTCCTGATTGAAGCAGGCATTACCTTCCCCAGAAGAACTGGCTCTGGGAAGGTTGTAAACTGTAAAAATGCAAGGGTTGGCTAATGTTAACACTAAGATGGTCAAACTCAGTCTGTTGGGCACGCCCATGCTGTATACCCAGACATAATGTAAGATCCTTAAACTCAGAGACCAAGTTTTCTATTTCATTCCACAAGGGTTTCTTGAATTTTATCTACTTGAATACAGTTTTGATGTATACACAACACGGTGCTAAGCCCAAAGAGTAAATAATGGATAAAAAGTATGAACGTTTGACTCACTGTTAGTTTTCTTGAGGCGCTGAACAGGTAAGCTGTGTCCCTTTGCATCTGTAGCAACGTATGTGTTCAAGTCCACTGTGTACTTCTGATGATTAATTTTGACAACAAGTGTCTTTATATTTTTCTTCTTTGCATCCTCCAATTGCAGATTGGTTACTTTGTCAAAATAATGCAAAGTGTTATTGTCATTATATTGCCATGCTATAACTTCACTGATATAATCTGCTCTGAATTCCTGCTCTTTGGTCAATCGAACTGTCTTCATCATTTTCTCAATTGAAATTCTAGCCTGTTCCACATCTCTGCTAATTCCTGAAACTTCAATCAAAGGTCTTTCAGTGTCCAAGTGAATGGCAATATTTAAGTTCTTCTGCAGCTTAGTCAATTCTTGATATTCCTTTTCACGAAAGTCTTTGATATGTTCTTCTTCACTGGTGTACAGAAACTGTTCCTTTTCAATCGCATCCTGTATCCAGGCAAGGGCATTTTCCACATATTCTTCATTTCTACCACAAACCTGAAAAATTGCTGATTCTATTTTCTTTTCCAAAACCAAAGAAGGTTTTTTGGAGGGAGACGGCTTTGAGAAGCCAAAAATTGCTAAAAAAGAAAAGAAAGGGGATGAAACAGATGCTTTAGATAGAATAAAAAGAAAAAAAAGAAGAAGAAAGAAAAATTAGCTATTTCTTTCTTTAAATTTTGTGATGGGTCACCATGCTGTACAACACATCCCCAAGACTTATTTATCTTACAACTGGAAGTTTGTATCTTTCAACCCCCTTCACCCATTTCACACTCTTCCTACCCCACACTCCCAGAGCCTCTGGCAACCACCAATTTGTTCTCTGTATCAATGAGTTTGGGTTATTTTTAAAGATTCCACATATAAGTGAGATCATACAGTATTTGTCTTTGACTTATTTAGCATAACATCCTCAAGGTCCATCCATGTTGTCACAAATGGCAAGATTTTATTCTTCTTTTTTTGATGAATGATATTCCATTATATATATTTTTTCCCCCACATCTTTATCATTCATTTGCTAATGGACACTTAGGTTGTTTTCATGTCTTGGCTATTGTAAATAATGCTGCAATGAACATGGAGGCACAAATATCTTATCTTCTTGAGAGAGTGATTTTGTTTCCTTCAGATAAATACTTAGAAGTGGAATAGAACCTATTAGTTCTATTTTTAATTATTTGAGGAACCTCAATACTGTTTTCCATAGTGGCTGTACCAATTTACATTTCCACTAACATTGTACAAAGGTTTCCTTTTCTCCATATTCTTGCCAACGCTTGTTTATTTCTTGTCTTTTTTACAACAGTCACTCTAACACGTGGTTTTAGATTTGCATTTCATTGTGGTTTTGATTTGCATTTCCCTGATGATTAGTGATGTTGAGCACCTTTCATGTACCTGTTGGCCATCTGTCTGTCTTCCTTGGAAAAACATCTATTCAGATCCTCTGCCCATTTTTTAATCAAATTGTTTGTCTTTCTATTAAGTTGTACGAGTTTTTATATATATATTTTGGAGATTATCATCCCCTTATCAGATATAGGATTTGCTAATATTTTCTCCCATTCTTTAGGTTTCATTTCATTGATGGCTTCCTTGCTGTACAGAAGCTTTTTCGTTTGATGTAGTCCCACTTGCTTATTTTTGCTTCTGTGGTTTGTACTTTTGGTGTCAAATCCAAAAAATTCTTTGCTGATACCAATGTCAGGGAGTTTACTCCCTGTATTTTCTTCTAGAAGTTTTATGGTTTCAAGTCTTATATTCAAGTCTTTAATCCATTTTGAGTGGATTTTTGTGTATGGGGTAAAATAGTGCTTTAGTTTCATTCTTTTACATGTCCGTCTGGTTTTCTGAGCACCATTTATTTTAGTATATGTGCTGCCAAAGCAAGCACCCAACACTCTTTATTGAAGAGTTTATCCTTTCCCCATTGTATATTCCTGGCTCCTTTGTTGTAAATTAATTGACCATACCTGCATGGGTTTATTTCTGGGCTCTCTATCCTCGTCTATTGATCTGTGTATCTGTTTTTATGCCAATACAATTACTATAACTTATAATATAGTTTGAAATCAGAAATTGTGATGCCCCCAATTTTTACTTCTTTCTCAAGATTGCTTTGGCTATTTGGGGTCTTCTGTGGCTCCAAACGAATTTTAGGATTGCTTGTTTTATTTTTGTGAAAAATGCCATCGGAATTTTGATAGGGATTGTACTGAATCTGTAGATCGCTTTAGGTAGTATGGATATTTTAACAATATTGATTCTTCCAATCCAGGAGCACAGAAAATCTTTCCATTTATTTGTGTCTTCTTCAGTTTCTTTCATCAATGTCTTATAATTTTCAGTGTATAGATCTTTCACCTCCTTGGTTAAATTTATGCCTAGGCATTTTATTCTTTTTTGCAATTATAAATGGAAATGTTTTGTTAATTTCTCTTTCTGATAGTTCATTAAAGATTAGCTATTTCAAGTCAGACAAAGACAAATACTCTATAATCTCACCTATATGAAGAATCTAAAAAAAAAAAAAAACAAAAAACACTCCCCCCAAAAGATAAACTCCCAAACTCATAGAAAAAGAGATCAGATGCATGATTACCAGAGGCGGAGGGTAGGGGAAGGAGAACTGGAGGAAGGTGGTCAAAAGGTACAAATTTCCTGTTACAAGATAAATAAGTACTAAGAGATATAATGTAAAGCATGCTAACTATAGTTCAAACTGCTGTATTTTATATCTAATCACAAGGAAAAATTTCTTTTTTTCCTTTTTTTGCTTTCTCTTTTTATTGTATCTACATATGATGGATGTTAACTAAATGTGCTGCAATAATCATTTCACAATATATGTAAGTCAAACCATTATGCTGTACAACTTAAATTTCTACAGTGATGTATGTAAATGATATCTCAATAAAACTGGGGGGGGGAGCTAATAAACTACCCAAAAATTTTAGAAAAAAATTAACTATTTCTCATGTGACATCAATATTAGGAACATGCATTTCATGAAAATGAACAACTCACATGCAAGTTTATGTATCACAGACTGTTGGGGAGAAGGCTGAGATCCTTCTCTTTTTTTCATGTTGGCATAAAACACATCCAGTATTTGAGGCAGAAAGATAACAACTTTAACTTTTTTCACAGACTGGACTGATCCTTTCTGGATAAAGTCTTCAATGGCATCAATTACGGCTTCAGCAACCTTATCTGGGTCTTGTTTGGCATTTCCTGGAAAAGCAAATGACAAAATTGACTGGGGATAAAAAAAGGCCCATCTAGAAAAGGCTGAAAAATAAATTAGAGATTCCACTTCTCACAGAATAAATGCCTACTTCGCAGCTCTTTCATCACCATGGACTTTTCTAACGATGCATAAGCAAACACTTTTGAAGTCCTAGATGCAATGGGGAATTTTTGTTCCAGGATGTCAGGAAGCTGACAGCCCAACAATGAACAAAGTACCTGGAAAACTAACTTTTGGTATCTGATACTCATATCTACTCTATTCAGCGGATCCCAGCTCACTGTGTTTCTCTGTGTTACAGAGCACAGTTAATCTTTCTTGGCTCACGAGTGACCTCAAAAGATTTATAAAAAGTAAAAGATGCTATATTATTGTTGATATATCATACTCTTTATAGAAAAAAAAAATTTTTTTCTCAATCTCCACTTGACTTTATTGCATGTATTCTTATTCTTCCAAGATGTCATCAGGGCTTGATTTAAAGTAAGCTAATTTTGTAAGACGCTTGGAGCTATTAGCGCTTTGTTATAATCTATATTTTTTTACATGCAAGTTATCCATGAGCCTCCAGGAAGTCTTTCCTCCCACACCCCGACTGGCAAGGTTCAAGATTGCTATCTGAACAAGTCTTTTCCTAATTAAGCATGCTCCATATCTTGCTTCTCAAGCCTACTACCTAGATAAGATCATGAAAAGTTCCCTGAAAAATCTTATAAAAAACCATAGAAGCAGTTCCATATGAATGGCAGCTGTTACATGGGTAGGGAGCAATGTAAAAGTCCCCTGATCAACCTGGTGTGATACACGAAGGGCCCATTTGGATTAGCCCCATGGATGGTGTCCACCTTTATTACAGAAATGAGAGTAGACTCTTTGACTTGGCTATGCAGACAATTGTGGAATGTAGACAAATCCCACATAAAAGTAACCAAGAGGATTTATTCATGGTTTTTTGTTGTTGTTGTTCTTTTTTTTTTCCCCCTATTAGCTGAGCAGGAAAGGAGGGAAATTTTTCTTTGCAAAGCTGTTATTTCATGATATTCAGAAGAATTTAAATGGGAGTGTTCAGATAAATTCATTCACTCTCAATAAACATTTACTATGTCCCATCACAAACTAGATGCTCATCTAGGCACTAGAACACAGAGGATGCGATACACGGGGATGAACAAGCATTCAATAGGTGAAGTATGGAAAAGTGAGGGAAACCCTAAGTCAGATAGAAATGTGTAACATGAGTGTAATATGTTCAACCTGGTGTATTCAGGGAAATAGATCTGTTTTTGAGAAAAATAAGTCTGGGGTGGGGGAGGTAGCAGAATAAAGGAGGCACTGGAGCAGAGAGCCCGGATCTAGAGAGGGCTAGGTAGGAGGCTATAATAAAAGTTTAGGCAAGAGCTGAACAAAGAGAGGGGGCCAGGAAGATGGAGGATTAGGTAAACACTGCTCTTGCCTCCTCTAATGACCACATCAAAATTACAACTAAATTTCTGGAGGGCCTAGAACGCCAAAGTAGACATTCAAACTCAGATTTCTGAGCAATAGAATCATCAATCCAGTGCCTAGCGGTTCTCTCTGGGATGGGTCAGCTCCATTCCACTTCAGGCCTGAGGGTATTTGCCTCTCCTAACCAGCTCTCTTAAGGGAAACCA